CATCTGAGGACATATTTATTTTCCCTTCATTACTGACAAATATATTCACTAGATAATGAATTCTGGGTTGATGTTTTTTCCTTCCAACACACAAAAAATGCTACTTTCTCTGGTCTCCACGTTCTGATGATAAATCCTCAGTTGTTTGATTTGTGAAGTGTCCTTTTTTTCAATATTTATCTTTGGTTTATCAATAAATTTATCTGTTTATCAATAATTTTCAGTTTTTTCAGTTTTTATAATTATGCTGTATCTTGGTGTGGATTTCTTTGGGTTTATCCTCTTTGGGGTTTGGGCAATGTCTTGAATCTGTAAGGGTTTTCCATTTATTTTTGCTAAATTTAAGAAATTTCTAGATAATATTTTTCGAGTACTTTTTCTTATCCCCACCCTCTTTCTCCTCTCCTCTTGGAACACCAGTGACATGGATGTTAGTCTTCTGTTAGTCTCCCTCCATTTCGAGGTTGAACAAAACCCTAAACTGCTGTTAGTCCCATCCACCTTGGTCAGAATCAGAAGCTTTCCTTGGCATGAGGAGAGGCAGAAGAAAACTATAAGAAAATATAATTTAATTTGTATCTTCTGGATATAGTAGGACTTTTTGACGTCCTTCTATAAAAATAGAAGCTAGAAACCATGCAGGGAAAGCCTTAGTAGATTTAAATACTCAAAAATTTAAACATCTATAACATTCTAAAAAAATCATTAATACCATAGATTAGGTAGCAAATGGTAAAAGCATGTGCCACATATATGATAGGAAGTAATGTTTCTCACATAAAAAAGTGAGAAAAACATCAATGTTCAATGTGGGTATATAGATAATTCATTAAAAAGGAAATTAAAGTGGTGATATAAATTAGAAAAGAAAATTTAACACATAAAACTAATATAAAATGACATTGACTAAAGTGTAAAAAAATTTAAATTTCAACTCATTACTGTTGAAATAAATGCAAATTAAAGTAAGATACCATTTTTTTGCCTATTCATTTAGTAAACTTTTAAAACTGTGACTACCCATCACTGGTGACAAACGTGGAGATGAATGCTCAGGTAAGGGGTCTAGTGATACAGCCTCCTGGGTGTGAGCCAGAAATTTTCCTTCGAAGAACTTTTTCTGAGGAAATCATTCAAAATACCAAGGCTTATGAAAAATGACCTTCATAGCAGCATTATTTATAATAGAAAAATTGTCATTTATAAAACTGCCTTGAGGGGCAGCTGCAGAACCAAAATAATCATCATCAATGTCAATCCAGTGTCCACCAGAGCCAACAAGTGCTGTCCACTAAGCCCCTGGACAATCCTTGGATGTCAAGTCCATTAGCATCGCTATTTCACAGAACCTCAGGACAGAGTGCCCTGGCCACGCCCCACCCCGGGAGTGATGGAGACAGACAGTTCCATCCTGGCTCCGCCCAACTCCCAAGGCCATCTTGTAGGCAGTTAGAAACAACAATCATCAAGAGGATGTTTTTTACAGAGTCTGAACATGTTTACAATATGATGCTAAGTGAAAAAGGAGGATCCGGGATCGCTCTACGATTTTAAGTAGAAAGAGTACAAATTGTTGCAAAATGCAGAGAAGGAAGGACTCTGAGAAGGAAAAGGTTGGGAGAGAGAGGCTATGGTGGCAGTGCAAGCTAGGGCTGGGGGATGAGGGCACTGTTGCTATTTCCCATGGCTTGGCTGCCCCCCCCCCCAGGCTCCTGGGGCGGGGGCTGGACCACAGAGACCACTATCTGGTGCAGTTGTGGAGGCATAGGGGTGTATAGGACCCTGGGGCTCTGTCAACCAGAGCTCCCTGCCCCACTGGGGAAGGGAAAGCCACAGTACCCTGTTCGGGAACAGGACTGAAATCAGATGAGTTCTGAGGGTCAAGAGAGCCAGGAAGGATGCCTCAGGAACCTGAAGGGTGCACAGGAATGGCAGCAGCGGACCCAGGATTGGCGACAGCCTCCCCTCGAACCTCGCAGCCTCTACCACAGAGGACTTCATAACCAATGGTGAAACTAAGGCGAGGAGAGGTCAGCTCACTAGCTTGAATAGTGAATTCACTGGCTGTTTGTCAAGGAGTGCTCTGCGCATGAGTGCAGGCGGTGCCCCTCCCACGCACAGCGCCTCAGGTTCCCAGAGCAGGGCAGGGTGAAACCCGGAACCAGAGCTGCATCTGGGAGCACTGTCTTGTCCCAAGGAACATCTGGTGCATTGGAGGAAAACATCCTTAACTATTTCAAAGCCAAAAAATAGAAGGAATGTTGTTTTTCCCCTCCCCCGAATTGAAATCCTTTAACTAGGAGCTTCCCAAACCCCAATCCCAAGGAATTGGAGCCTAAATTTAGATTGTCCTTGGAAGGTCACCGGATAACCCCAGCTCAGGGTCAGCCAGCAGCTGCTCAAGATAACTTTGCTTTTCTGCTGACTCAGGCCTTTCCCTCACACAATTAATGAGATCCTGCTGTACTTCCCCTGGGAAAGAGAACAATGGCTGTAGAAGAGCAGGTGGCCTTGGCTGGTACGAGAGCCTTGCCACAGATCAGGGACTGACATTCCTACCCAGCCCCCGGACCCCCTGCGGAACTTGGTTTGCAGGCCCTGGTCTACTGTGCCGCCCCAGTCAAGCCAGCCTCCATCTGTCCCTTGGGGCTACGCCCCTTCCTACCTCTGGGTCTTGGCTGAACTGCCAGCTCCTCAGAAAAGCCATCACTCTGTACCACACTGCTCTCTCTTTCCCAAGGGCATGCACGGCACACCTGCAAGGGCCTTACCACTTACTGGCTGAGTGCGGGAGCTCCCTGGGTTGTGCTCCACTAGCGAATGTGCTCGGTGCACAATAAGTGGTCAGGAGATCCTCCTGAGTGGAAGGAAGGGTGGGCTGTCCTCAGGCCGCCTCTCCCCACGCCCCCTTCCCCGACCCCACCCCCGGGTCTGGTCGGGGGTTGGGCCTCTCTGTGGTGGCTCTGGTTCCACTGTGGGCCAGGGCCACAACCAATGCAGTGGTGCTGAGGTAGAAATCAGGTTGTGATAGGCAGAACCCGACACTCCCAAGATACTGCGGTCTCCAAGATACTGTGAGGCTGTCCTCCAAAGAGTCGTGTGATCGCTGGGGGCACCACGGGATGCCAGGCTGGAGGTGGGCCCTCTCTACCTCCAGCCCCTCCCAAAATGGTAAAGAAGGGGAGGAAGGTGGGCAGATGAAGGGCGAGAGGTTCATGCGTCTGCACTGCAAGCTGGCTGGAGAGGCAGCAGGCAGCCCTCTACCTGGTACAGATGCATGAAGAAGGCCACTGTGTTGAGATTCATTCCTGAATACTGGTGGGGGAAACCAACAAGCAGGTGGACAGTTCCAGCTTGGACCTCTGGGAGCAAGGTGAGGGGATGGGGCAGAGAGGCCTCTGAGAGGAAGTGACCTCAGCAACACAATGTAGCCGGATGAGCAGGCCCTAAGCCAAGGGATGTGCACTGCAGGCAGAAGAGGCTGTGGGTGAGAGACAGACCAGCCTGAGGGCCTGGGGAGGGGACAAGTCTGGGTGGAGCAGGGAGTATATGCTGCTGGACTGATCAGGCCCAGCGTAGCCGGGCACATGTCACCTAGGCCACTCTCAGGAGTCAGCGCTTTGTCCACAGGCAGTGAAAGCCATGAAGGGTTTGAGACAGAGTAAGAGCCAGGGGAGGAGCCTGCTGGGGTGGCACAGCTGCCCTACGGAGAACAGACCCAGAGGGCAAGGAAGGGGCCCAGACAGCCTGAGGCCAGGGCAGCTGTCCTGGGGAGGACGCAGGGTGGAGTGTGGTGGGGGGCCCCTGGGTAAGGTCCCTAAATTTGGGCTGGTGGGGAGCAGGGATGAGAGGGTGGGGTGGGTGGTACATGTGCAGTGGATGGGAGAGGAGATGTCCAGAAGGGGCTGCAGGGTGGAGGGCGAGTGGCCCACAGTTTGCAGCAGGAGAGCAGCAGCTAGTGAGATGGTAGCTGGGAGGAGGCAGTGGTTCTTGGTGCTGGGAGGTGAGGTGGGCATAAAGAAAGAGGTGAAACTTCCCCCCACATCCCCCTCCTGCCCACAGGGCCCAGCAAACTTGCCTTACCTCCTCATGCTGGAGGGACAGGGCGCTGGCCTTATCTCAGAGCCCCCTGAGGAAGGAGAAGGAACCAGGGCCCGGAAGGGACAGCTTTATCAAAGCTCCCAGACAGGGACTGGCCTCAACACTATCTTCTCTGTGGAGGGCCCTGTCTGGCAGAGCCAAGCACATCGGACCGTAGGAAAGCACAGGCGTAACAGGGGCCACAGTCCAAGACCAAGCAGTAGACTTTGCTGGAAACAAAGGGGCTGACAGGGAGTGGGAGGGGGCTGCCAGAACGGGGCTGGTGCCCCCATGAGGTTGTGGGCTACAGGGCCTGGTGCCCCACCTGAGCCTAGGGGGGGCCCAGTGTTCAACCCGTTGGGCCTTTCGAGAAACTGCTGGGCCATTGTGCAGAAGAATGCCCGGAAATCCCGCACCTCCCTCCTCCAGCGAGGATGGGGGCTCTTCCTCCTGGCCAGGAAACTCCAAATTGACTTCTGGAGGGCGGTCTGGGGGCTAGTGTGCCAGGGTTACCGCTGGTGGGAGGGCAGAGCACAAACCCTCAGTCCCTTTGTGTCTCTCCTGTCTGAGGGCCAGAGTGGGCCTTGGAGCCTGGGCCACCGGCTGCTCCTCAGAGAACAGCCTGTATACTGGGTTATTGGGGAACACTGGGGACTTCCTGAAGTGGTGTCGCCTGAGCTGGGCCTCCCAGGATGGGGGGATGGGAAGCATCTCCAGAAGAGGAGCGATCAGAGCAAGCGGGTGGAGGTTGGGAGGTCTGGGAAGTCTCTGCCACAGGCGCAGAGTCGGGGTCTTCTTAAAGAGACCGTCTGTGCCACCTGCCTCGTGCTGGGGCCTCAGGCCCCAGGGAAGCAGTGAACCAGTGGGCAGTGGCACTGGGGAGGGTCTTGGACGAGGCAGGAGGCCAACCTGACTCGCACAATCCTGCCTGGTCTTTCAGCCTGCAGGAGGACAGAACCAAGTCTTAGAGGGGCACCGGGCAGTAAGGATGCGGTGAAAGAGCCTGGGTCGGGCTTAGGCTCCAGGGCGAACTTCCTGAAGGGACCGGCTGAGATGTGCTTAACTGACCCCAGGAGAAGAGGCTGCGAGAGTCCCCGACACAGGACTCTGCATGGTGGTGACAGTGGGAACTTCTGCAGAACTTGACCAGGGAACAGCAGTGCTGGCCCAGGGCTAGAGAACATCAGGCTCCTTCAGAGAAGTGGAGGGGGAAATTGGGGATAATGTAGCTCCTGAAATGAAGAGGCAAAGGAGAGGCATGGAAGTGGCGCAAGGAGAGCGAACGCAGCCTCCCGTAGCCGATCCAGACCTCGCTCGGACTCGACTAGAAAACCGCGGGTGAAGAATCCGGGGCGGCGGCCGTGAGGGGAGTGGTTCCGGCATCCTCTGCTATCTCCAAGCGAAGTTATTTTCCTACCTGCTGGATACCGTGAGGCGCCATGATTGGCTGCAGGCCGATGGCTCGTGCGTGGATTGGATGCTTGGACAGGGCGGCCGAGCCCGAGCCCGCCCCCCGAACCTTCAAATAAGAAGGACCGCGGGGAAGTACAGGCAGACGCGAAGCTGTGTTGCCGGCTAGTGGGACGGCCTGGCGAAGGGCGAGGAGCCGGCCGTGCGGGCGCAAAGGCACTAGGCTCCACACAGGGAGCCCACCTGCTCAGCTGAGCCACTGCAGCGCCCCCTGCGGAAGTCCCGGGGCCGTCGGGCTCGCGTCTCACCTCCAGCCATGGGGTCAGCAGCGCTGGAGATCCTCGGCCTGGTGCTGTGTCTGATGGGCTGGGTGGGCCTGATCCTGGCATGCGGGCTGCCAATGTGGCAGGTGACCGCTTTCCTGGACCACAACATCGTGACGGCGCAGACCACCTGGAAGGGGCTGTGGATGTCGTGCGTGGTGCAGAGCACGGGGCACATGCAATGCAAGGTCTACGACTCGGTGCTGGCGCTGAGCACCGAGGTGCAAGCAGCGCGGGCGCTCACGGTGAGCGCCGTACTGCTGGCGCTCGTCGCACTCTTCCTGACCCTGGCGGGCGCTCAGTGCACCACCTGCGTGGCCCCGGGTCCCAGCAAGGCGCGCGTGGCTCTCACGGGTGGTGCTCTCTACGCGCTCTGCGGGCTGCTGGCGCTCGTGCCGCTCTGCTGGTTCGCCAACATCGTGGTCCGCGAATTCTACGACCCGAATGTGCCCGTGTCGAACAAGTACGAACTGGGTGCTGCGCTCTACATCGGCTGGGCAGCCTCGGCGCTGCTCATGTGCGGCGGCGGCCTCGTGTGTTGTGGAGCCTGGGTCTGCGCCGGCCGTCCTGACCTCAGCTTCCCTGTGAAGTACTCGGCTCCGCGGCGGCCCACCACCAGCGGCGACTACGACAAGAAAAACTACGTCTGAGAGCGCTGGGACGGAAGAGCCCCTGGTGCCAGCCGCGCTCACGCCCGGAGGACTGGCCAGGGAGCCCTGCATGGACGGAGGCCTCCGCTGGGTCGCGCCGCTCACTGGTTACGCGGAACGCGGCCCGCCAACGGGACCCTGCTCGGGCCCGCAGCCCATCCACTCCGACTGTCACTCGCTGGGCCCTGGGCGGTGCCCTGCCCTGAACAGGCGACGCGCACTTGGGAGGACTTGCTCGGTTTACTTTCTGTGGGAAGTGCTGGCTCCGACGTGGGTGGGGCACGGGTTCCTTGGCTCTGTGGGCACGAGACTACACTTTTCCCCCTGTCCGGCCTGGTCTTGGACGCCACTCTACTTTCCAGCGGCTCCTGCTGATTCCAGAGGGACAGAGGGCTTGGGGCTCCCAAACTGAGCTGCCTGAAAGCTGTGTATAGCTGGCCTTTACCCCATCAGCAGGGCCTGAGCCTAGGGGTCCAAGAGACTTGCTTTGGACCTCCCTCCCTCAGCCCTGCAATTTGCCAGGTGCACAAGATCTGAGTGTGGGGCTGAGGCCCTGCCCTCCTTCAGTTTGGGGGATGGCAAGAATTTGTTTAGTAAACGGTTTGAATACCCTTCCACCTGTGTTCTGTTGTCTGTCCATCCAGTCACCCAACTCCTCCCTGAAAGGCCCTGTGAGAATCTCCCACAGCTGGCTCTGGAGTCCATAAGATCTCCCCACAGCCTTTTGTTGGGTCCTCCCTGCCACCTGAACACCCTTGTACTGGGTAGGAAACAGCCACAGCTGTTTCCTACCCAGGAAAATGCTGTAGTCAGATCCTCTGAGTCACAGGACCTGGGGAGAGGACAGAGACCCCAGCAAAGGAGGCAGATTGGACTCCTCCTTCCCAAGCCAGTGTGTGGTGGGCTTGGGATGCAGGAATTGTTGAGGGTGGGCCACTAGGCTGCTGGCCTTGCTTAGAAGAGGCTGGGCTCCACAGGGAGGGTGTTTGCCACCTGCCCTCCCAGGGTTTGCCTACTTCTGGGTCACGTCAAATGGCCACAGACATCTGCACACACAAACTGGGCCCTTTCTCCCAAATGGTGCAGTTAGAACAGGGGCAAATCCAGGATTTGTGCTGGGCCCCAGCAGAGCCAGCTACAGGTTGACAAGCACATTGCCTGGGGAGGAGGCTCCCTGGCCAGTTGCCTGGAGAGTGTCCAGGCTCAGCCTGTCTGGACTCTTCCGTGCAGCTGTGCCCAACCTGATAACCATCCCAGTCTTGTGCCAACCATCAGCATCTGCTAGGATCACCTTATGTGACCTTCTTCTGGTGGGTGGAACAGACCCTTGGGAACCAGGCTGGCTCATCAGGTACCTGGGAATGGGGGTCCCAGGAGAGCAGAACAAACCAGAGCTGTTACACCAGCCAACAGCTTATTGCTTCCAGCCCTGTTCTAGGCACTTGAAATCAATGCATTTTTACCTTCTGCCAAAGGCCAGAACAGGAGAGCTGTGGATGGGGGCAAGGGAGGCATTCTAAGCCTGGCCAGCAGGAAAGCTTGGTATTTGCCCCCAACCCCAGCCTTAGGAGCCCTGTCCAAAAATGCCTGGGCCACGTCCAGTGGCAAAGTCTCCCAGGCTTGGTCAGGCTTCTTGTGGGGGTGGGGAGAGAACCCAAGGACATGGGCTCAGGGTGGCTGCAGCAGAGCCAGTGAGAGGACTTCCAGGGAGGCTGAAACATCTGGTGGTCTGAGCTCCCCCAACAACAGGACAAGGCGCAGTGGGATGGGCCCCACAGCAGAGGACCTCAGCAGCCCCGCTCACAGCAGCTCCCCTGGCCTGTGCAGCAGGGATCAAGAATAGCTCCTGGGTGCAAGTCTGTCATCCTGGGCCTTGTGAGGCTGCTCCTGGCTGCTGGGGCCAGCTAGCGCTGCCGGGGGTATGTGGCAGTCTGTATTGCACATAAGCCCATAGCTCTCCAAGTTTTTCAGGCACAGGCATCGGCTGGGGATCTGAAGAGCAGTTGCATAGCCTCAGATTTTGCAAACAGCCAAAGTGCGTAGCTTGAGGGCAAGCCCTGGAGGAGAGCTCATGCCAGGAAGAGCAGGGGCAAACTCCACTGCCAGAGGTCAGGAGAGACAAGGAGGCCACCACTGCTGCCAACCCCACTGTACCAACTACCCCTTCCCAAGGGCTGCCTTGAGACCTGGACACAACTACCCACACCCCCTATTCCAGGTCAGTTTCCAGGCTTCGCCCTGCTCTCCCCTCCCAACATACAGCCTTCCCAAACCACTCTGCCTCCACCTACCATCCACCCCAGGAACTGCACCCAGATGGCCATGTCCCTCCAGCCTGCCTGCTTCCCCAGCACCCAAGCTCCAGGTGGTGGTCACAGACAAGCTCAGTGACTTGTATGAACAGCTTTCTCCTCTGCTGAAACAGGTGAGGTACCAGACAGACCTCTCACAGGGCAGGAATGGATGGGAGCAGGGAGCATCCTCGCCTCCAGATCAGGCTCGAGACGTCTTGGATAGTGGGACCAGCTGATCCCATGGCTGCCCTGAGAATTCTTCCTGTTCTGAAGACTTAGGAGGTTGCTGCAGTCCTGTCTGGCTCAGACACAGGTGAAGCTGACCTTGGGGTCATCATGCCTCCATCGGGGAGAGGCCTCTCAGCCAGGCCCACCCTTCCTGGCTTGGGCTTCAGGTGTGCCTGTGGGGCCAGTGGCGTATGGACAGATAGGTGCTGGAGGGTAAGATGACATCCCAGAGGTGGGACAAGATCAAGAAGATGAACTTGAGATGCTGCCAAGGCTAGAGGACAGGAGGACATGGTGAGAGGGTGGATAGAGCCCAGCTCTGGCTGGCATTGCTGGGAAATGGTCAGCACAGGTGCTGCATGGATATCCACATGGTCAGGGGCCTGGCCTCTGCCCATTGCCGCCCTGACTCCCCCCAACCTGTGCTTATTTCCTGCTGGGCCAGAGGGCGTTCAGGACACAGAAACAAGGCTCCTATGAACCCACAGAAGGCTCAGGGCACAGCTAAGTGCTGGCCCTGTAACTGGAGCAAAGGATGGGACACTGAACCTAAAATAAGCATTTTATTCCATTAAAACCCACTGTCTCTACAGTTAAAACTACATTTATAACTTACAATCAAAATAAAATCCTATTAATATAAATAAGGAGAAGGAGGTCCTTTCTGAAGAAATCCAACTCTAGAAAAGAAAAAAAATATATAAATTTCACACAATTCTGATGTCTCCCCAAAGTAAACACATTGCCCCAACGTTCCCCCCGACATACCAGGCTGCTGCCTCTGAGTCGCCTTCACCACTCAAGGGGAAGGGCCACCCCAGAGCTACCAAGGCACCTGACCCTGCCGGCCTCACTGTACCCCCCTGGCCAGGTGCAGGCTGTCATCTGTTTGACAACCCCTGAAGGCCTGATGGATCCCCAGCACCCCCTTACCTTACAGACCCTTCCCAGTGGCTTGTCCAGCTTCAGATCCATGGTGACCCTCCCCTTGCTGGGAGCATCTCCCTGCCACCCCCCAGAACACTGCTCCTCACCCTTCCTGGGTGACCCACCCTGTACGGTGTCTTGGTGGCAGGACCCACAGCAGCATTGGCATCATCACTGAGCAGACTGCAGGGGAGAGGCGGCCTCAAATGCCAGCCTCAGTGCCTGAGAGACCTGCTTGTAACCTCTGACTGAGCCATAATCTTATATCTCCGCCCCGACCCTAAGGGCCTGTGCTGAGGTTCAGCACTTGTCTAAGGGGCATCAGCCCCATTCTGGATGAAGAAATGGCTAAGGTGCTCAACAGATCTCACTAAAGACCTTAAAAACCTGTGTACCCCAGCCCAACCTGACAGAGGGATTGTGGGGTCCCTCAGGCCCCCATGCCATTCTCAGCAGTGCCCGCTGGGGCCCAGCAGGGGAAGGGCGCCTGCTCTCAAAGCTTCCAGCTCACTATGGACAGGGGAGCAGGAGGACCCTGGGCTGGCACGAGGGGGCCCCATACCTCAGAGCCTTGATAGGCCTGACAACCACAGCAGTGGCCCCAGCCCAGGCTCAGGAAAAGGCAGGGCTGGGTGTGGGCATCCACTGTGTGGGGGGTATTGGGGTCCTGTGCGGAGAGGTGGTCACTGGACACAGGGCAGCCCCCCTGACCTGGTCCCTCAAGAGGCCTGTCAGTTATATCCACATGCAAGTGCAGGCCTGCGGAGAGCTGACATTTTATAATTCTCGACTGAGTGGCTGATGACAGTGTAGCTTTCTCAAAAGTCAAGCACATAAGAGCCTGGATAGAGGCCCTTAGGGGCTCCATCCCAGGGCCCGAAGCCAGGCTGGAGGGGCAACGAGGCTCCAGGTAGCCCCTGGGGGCGCCCTCATTCCTGCCAGTGCCAAGAGGCCTGCGTGTCCCTGGCAGTTGCTCAGCCCACAGTGTGATTGGGAAGAAGAGGACAAATGTCAACTGTTTCTGAAGGGGTCCCAGGAACTTAATGCTATTAGCTCCCCAAAATGCCCCATTGTGGCATTGCCACCAGCACAGAGACAGGCATTCTTGGGAAAACTGTGTCGGTCCCAAATCTCAGGAGCCCCGCTCTGGTTTGAAACCCAAGTAGAAGCCTGGCCTGAAGAAGAAAAGAGTGAGGAAACCACAGCAGGAATCAGGAGGGGCATTAGCAGCACTGGCTTTGTGGTGCTCCCCCCACTCACCCTCAGGACAGGAGGGAAACAAGCGCGTCCAAAAACTTGCTCCGATCCTCTGCTTTCAGTTCAATTACTGCAGTAATGAAAGAAAAACATCTCATGAGACGGGAGGAGTAGGAACAGGAGGGAGGAGTGAGAAAAACAAGTCAGCACATTAACTTCCTCTTCCCACTCATCCAGGACTGGAACCCTCCAGCACATTCCAAAATGGACTTGGCTCCTTGGTGGCCTGGGATATTCTGGACTAAGAGGTTATACTTCTCCATCCCTCTGTATTTAATCTTCAGAAACTTCCAGCTGCCCTGTTGGTGAGGCTGTGTTGTGTCTATGGGGAGGACCCCCCGGGCAGCAAGGGGACTGGCACTGACAGGCAACAGAGGGAACACAGGGGATGTGATGGCTTAGAGCACCGCAGTCCTGGGCTGAGATGGGCCTTCCCGCCCTGAGGGACAGACTGCGCCCAGTGGACTGCGGGAAGCCCTGAAGTCTGTCAGGCAGAGGCCAGACCCTCAGCTTCAGCGTCCTCCACCGCAGGAGGGAGACATGATGCAAACTGCCTGTCTCTGGGGGGCCATCAGGCTGACAAACACGTGGGCCTCCTCGGAGGGCTAACCAGGCTTACCTAGTCCTACAAGCTGCCTGTGGGGTGGGTCGTGGCTCTAGAAGGCCCAGGCCCCGCTCACCCAGTTAGTACTGGCCATGACTCCCTCAGCCTGCTGCCGGCGGTCTCCACCCACGGGGGCAGCCAAACAGCTCCTGGCCCACAAACCTGCCCGGAGGGAGCCCATGACATCTTGTGGGCCAACCAGCACCAACCCCTCCCACCTCTCAGGCAAAAGTGAACACCCAACACAGCCGCAGCCTGAGTGGGCCGTGTGAAGAAGCCCCTCTAGGCACTGAGGCAACTGGGATGAAGACTGGATCTCTTGATTGCATTGATTGTGAGGTGGTTTTCTGTCATTATTTCTTCAAACA